CTTGAAAGGATCAGGGCTCCGGCCTGGCCTTCTGAGCTCCCCTCTCGGCCTTCCTTCTTATGAGCCCCCCACCCCCCCACCCGGTGAAGGCTGAGCCCTCCTCCTCCTGGTTCCCTTTCTGCTTGCAAGCCACTCCGTGCACGTTCACTCAGACCTGAGCCCCATTGGGATTGAAGGAGAGGTAATAGATGGGGTACCCTCTGTGGGGTTGGGGCCTCCCCCCTCCCATCTTCTCACTTGTCAGGGACATTCTACATTTCATTTTTGTCTTCTTATGTCAATCATCTAGTGAATTTCAGTCATTAGTCAGTGAACTTTGCTCCCTTAATGAACCCTCACTCCCTGGGTGGAGCAGCTCCCACCTAAAACCATGGAGGACCCCCATGCCAGGCCCCCTTCCCTCTGGCCTGAGCGGGAGCGGACCCCCCTCCCCCTTCCCCCTTTCCACCAAGCATCAGCCACATCCAGCCCACACTGAGCCACCGAAGGGCGTTGCCCCCGCAGAGGTCCCTGGCACGAGGACCAACCAGAAGGAGGCCTGGCCAAAGCAAACTGGAGCCGGGGCCCGACCAGCTGCCCTCTGGTGAGGGAGGGTGGTCTGTGAGCAGCAGCGCCCCCTCCCCCACTTCAGTCCTGAAAGCAAGCAGCCCCAGTCCATGGGGCTCTCCCAGCCGAGGCAGAGACCACACAGTGGCTGCGGAGGCTTCCTCTGGGCTCAAGAGAAGAGGCAGCCACCCTTCCCATCGTGGCTGCTGCCTCTGGCGCTTCTTCCCTTCACTGGCGCTCCGGCTGCCTCCCCAAGCAGGCAGAGGCCTCTGGTCAGTGGAGCAGCCCAGCCCAGGGACTGCCTCCCTGGGAGGCTGTTCCCCTGCAGGCCCTTCCCGGAGGAAGAGGCTCAGCAGCTGCCCCTCGTGCTGTTCAGAGGAGGTCAGTGTCGCAGGGTGCCAAGGGTGCTGCGCCTCTGCTTGGGGGATCTGGCCTTTGACCCAAAGAGCCCCTCTTCCCCTGCACCCCCTGCCGCATGCCCAGGGCAAAGGGGTCCCCAGCTTATGGCCACAGGATGCAGGGAGGGTGCTGGGACGCCACAGTCTGCGGCCCAGGTCCCCTTGCGCAGCTCAGAGGCGGCCGGGCTTCGAGAGGGCCTCCAGCCGCATCGGGGTGCTGGCGGGCCACGGCAGCACGTAAGGGGCTGGCCTTTGGCTCAGTGGCTGCAGCGCTTACATCTCTCCTTCCCCATGTCCTTCTCGTCCCCAGCAAGCTCAGCCCAGCCAACTCAGCAGCCAGGGCCCAGCACACCCCCTGCAGGCGCACAAAAAGGGCCTTGGCCACAGGGGCTGCGTCAGCATCTTTCCAGAGCAGAGATTCTGGCGGGCTGCGGAGGCAGGTGTGATGGAGCGCAGTCTGTACGCGCTCAGACTCGAGATCCCAGCGTGAGCCACCCTGAGGGCAAGACGGGCCCCGTCCGGCATGAGGCCAGCAAGCCCGGGAACCAGCCTCCAGCCGCCGCCCCCGGCTCCTGCCCCGACGAGCCGCCTGTGATTCACAGGTGCCGCAGCGGCCTCCTTTGCTCCCGAGCAGCTTGACTCGGGCCTGTGCTGACAAAGCCAGGCTGGGCCCAGAAAATGTGGCGGGAGCCAGGTGCCTTCCCAGCCCCTCACACAGCCACTGCGTCCCGGGAGAGCTCCGCCACGGAGACGGGCCCCCACCTGGGAGCACCCAGGGGCCTCATCTTGCAGAAATGGATTCCTGCAGGTTCTTGGGGCAGCCTGGTCAGGAGGTGACGTGCCCTTGAGCATTGGACAGTGGAGAGAGACCAGGTGGCCCCCCCACCTGTGGCAAGCGTGGTCCCCCACAACCACCTCTATTTCCATGCTGCCCTGTGTGGCCTCTGAGGCTGCTGTTAGAAAGCAACTCGAGGCGAGGGCCCCTGGCCAGCTTTCTGCCTCCAACAGGAAGCCTAGCTTAGCCCCTCGGGGGAGCTGGATGATAGCCCTCCTCATCCCTTGCTAACAGCAACGGCATTGGGAGATCCAGGGGCACCACGTTGGGGAAGGGAGGCTTAAAAGAGCCCTTCCCCCCGTGGGCTGCCCAGTCCAGGAAAAGGTTGTTGTGTCTGGACTCAAGTGGACAATCCTGCTCACTAACAGCTTTTCTACCAAGCCTCCCCAGCCTATTCTACCCCCGCCCCCCCCGTGACTCACCTGCTCGTCTAGGAATTCCCTGGCCTCCATTTACCCCCTCCCCGACTTTATCTCCAGCCAGCCTTCCTGTTTGCTCCCACTGAGGCCACTGGGACGCGGGCACCAGATGTTTCCTCTCCCTGTCAGACGCTTCCTAAAGGGCCTTGGCCCAGGCCAGAGGGATTGCCCTGGAGAGCAGAACCCCGCTGCTGGAGCAAGGCACGTTGCCCACGAATGCTTCCATGGTCTTTGCAGCTGCCTCTGGCCTACTGGCTGATCTCTTTATCTTTTCTAAGCTGCTCTGGGAGAAGAGGAGGGGAGGCGGCCCACGTTCCGGGTCCACCTAGCACCGCACGCTGCAGACGTGTGCCAGTGAGCCCCAGCCAGCACAGGTCAGCCCCGCGCAGATGTAGGGCCACGAGAGCGCAGCCTGTATCAGCCATGAAAGGCCCGGCTCTCATTCCTTCTCGGTAGTGCCTGTCCCTTAAAGCCCTCAGTGGCCCGGGGGCCCCTCCGTCACTCACAGCTTATAAAACCGACAAGGCGGCCTGGGGAGGCCTGTCACATTTTAGGGCTTTGAGCTGCTCCCCCCACCACCTGCTTTGCTTTTCCTCCAGCCGTGTGACCTCTCACCCCAGGCCTCAGCCCCAGTTATCCCAGTGGGGGGGGGGGGGTGTGTCTCTGCCTAGAGACAGGCTCATTCAACTGTCCGCCCCCCCCCATCTGCAGCTTTAAGGCCGGGTTGGGCCTCCAGCACGCCCAAAGCAGCCACGGGAGTCAGACGGCACCTCCCTTGAGAGCAGACCCAGGCAGCCAGAGGGTCCTTTGTCCTCTGCCAACACCAGGAGTGCAATGTGACTGGCCCGGGGGGAGGGGGCACGGAGGGGGAAAGTCTCCTCTGCCGCACAGCAGGGTTGCCGCCAGCCAGAACAACTGAGTCACGCTTGGAGAGGGTGAGGCCGCCGCCCAGGAAGGCCAGCAGGGAAACACTGAGTCCCAGCATGCTCTGGCAGCCCACTCTTGCCCACCAGAGGGCACTGCCGTGGGGAAGCCCTGTCTTCAAACACCCTGCCAGGGATCGGCAGGGCAGCCCTCCGCGGGGCCCAAGGGCTGAAGGCGGAACTTCTGCCCTGGAGCCTCCCTTTCTCCGAGCAACCGATCCACTGGGCTCTGCTGCAGCTGAGGCTGGCTGGATTGGCAAGGGCAGGGCCCCTCAGGCTGCCTCCCCAACTCTGGGCTGCCCCTTTCCTGGGCAAAAGTGGGGCAGAGCCCCCAAACCAGCAGGGTGTGGCAATGGGCGTTTGGCAGAGTTGGCTTGTTTTACAATACTTGAAGCCTGTACAAATCCTAACAGATTCTGGGCGGGGTACAAGAAAGCCCCCGAGCGCATTAATAATAACCAAAGCAATAGTAATAGATACCTCCAAGGCTCCATTCGCTTAACCTAAAGGCCAAATGTTTGCTGGAAGCGTGGCCTGTTTTCAAAATGCCCGTAGAGTGGGGTGGTCGGGAGGCCTGAGGCCTGGCCCACGGCATGGCTCACTGGAGCCGGCGGGGTGCTGTGGAAAGGGTGCCCTCAGACGGCCACCAGCCACCACCTTCCACGCAGCAAGCTCACAGCTCAGTCCCCGCCTCCACCCGGGCCCCTGTGGGACAGGGGTCTGCGAAACGGGCAGCAATTTGACTTCACCCCCAAGGCTGCCCGGAGGCACAACTCCTCGTGCCACCTTCTGCCAAGAGGGCTGAATCCAGCGATCCCTAGGAATCCTGGAGAACCTCCCAGCCTCCAGGTGGGGTGTTCACGGGCTTCATGCAAGGGACAGAAGGGGCGCCAATTGTTCCCCAAGTCTGTGCTGCTGCCATCCTGCTGTAACGACTTGTAGGAATTCAGGGTTATGCAACGGGTTGGGTAACTTGCGGTTGGCCTGATGTGCGCACGCCATTGTGTGTCACACAAAGCAGGGTGGCGCCTGCTTCGGTTTCAGGAGGATTTGCTGATTAAGAACCTTCAAAGGAAGAGCATTAATGTTCCAAACGCCAGCTCAGCACCTCAGAGAAGAACTTGTGGGGGGGCTGGATCCTTCCCTGCCAGGGCTGCCCCTTCCAGCTTGGAGTTCCCTGGAGCTCTCTGGTCTGCAGAAAGCCCCAGCTGGTCCTCTGGTTAAAAGGAAGAGGGGCGGGTGAGGGAACGGGCGGGGAACGAGAGACCTTGCACCATTGCAGGAAGGCACCTGGAAGAACCCCGAACCAAAGCCGTAGCTAATGCGGCCTTTCGGCCACTGCTGGGAGGGAGGCGGGGTCCTCTGGATGGCGATTTCGGACGGTGCCTGACTTCCTTCTCTCCCCTCCCCTCCTTCGAGCATCGCGGCAATTCCCCTCCCTTGGCAAGGGCCGTTTCTCTTTTTGTGCCACTCAGATTAACACCCTGCCCGGGTTGACCCCACTAGTTTGGCTGGCAGTGGCCTGGCTCTGGACCTGGGTGCCTGCAGGGCCACCTACTCCAGACGGACTCTGCTGTCAGCCCCTCCAGGTAGGCCAGGCCAGGAAATCAGCTCCCCCGGGAGGCCAAAGCAACTTCCGTTGAGAGAATGCCAGAATCCTGCAAGTCGGGCCGGACTGCGCCTGCCTGAATGCTGTCCTGTCGCTCTGGCCCTAAAAGCGCTTCGGGCTGGGGTCCCTGCCTAGCTCCGTCGAGGCCACCCTCCTGACTCTCTCGGCCGATCCAGGAGGCGGGGCCTGCCGGGCATCCCTGCTGCTTCCAGAGGTGGTTGGGGGACGTCCCAGAGGGTTGAAAAGGCCAAGCGGCGGCCTGCTGGGGTGAGGAGGAGGGCTTAGTCATGGCTCTTAGGCTGGGTGGCTGGGTTTCAGTTTGCTGTCCCTCAGCTGCACCGCGTGGAGGCCAGCTGTGGAAAGTACCACCCCCTGAACCGCATCCGACTGGAGTGGCAGATAAGACATTGTGTAAATAGATAGATAAATAAGTAAATAAAACACCCGGAACAACATCTGACCAACTGTTTTAGGAAGATAGTTTCTTCTAGGGAGAGACATGCAAGGCTTTTTTTTTTAATGAATTACTGCATGCTTCAAACAAATGAGAAGCCGAGCGCGGCTTGTCTCCCAAGAGGGTTCAGAAGTAAAGCCCTTATTTGCCCGCTGGGGTGCCTTCTGGAACCCCCTGGTTCTTCCCTGGGATGACAGTGAAGAGGCGACAGGACTTCTGCAGCGTCAGACATGGGAACAGACGTAAAAAGAGCTGGATGGTTTCCACAACCAAAGTGCCTTGGCCCCGAGGCCCTCCCAAAAGGGGGCTCTCCTTTGGGAACCCCCTTCCCTCCTCCCCCCTGAAAAGACGGCCTGCGAACAGAAGCCCACTCCTCAGTCAGAGCCTGTCAGCTTCTCCGAATCCCACAGGAAACTGGTGGCCGCCGCCCTCTGGTGGCCACAGGAGGAGCTGCGCGCCACTGCCCCAGACAACCGCGGCCCGGTCAGCCTGGCTTTCCCGTCCCCGCCCGCATCTCTCTGCGGCCAGTTTCCCGTCTTTCAAAGTTGCCGTGCTGTCCGTTTTATAGTTATGTATCAATGTATTTCGCTCTTGGAAACCTCTCGCCCCATCGTTTTACAGCCTTTTCCTTTTCTACAATGGCAGAGGAAACTCTAACAGAAGTTACAGTTAAAAGGCAAATAATGTATTTTCCCAAACATTTGAAAGAAGAACCTTACCCCTTACAACTTCCCAAATGCACCACGTAACACACCCCAAAATCCCTTGTAAAGTCCCCACAGAGGCATGTTTGCAGTTTTTCCAGTCACAGAGGGCTAAAGGCAAGCAACATGCACACCACGGCTCCATCCATAGACCTGTACTGTGCTCCCCAGCGCCCCCCCAGCTTAAGGCTGATGGGGCCTGACTGCCTCCACGGGCACAGAAGCCCCAGCCAATTCTGCCTCCCCATCTAAACACTCCTTTAGATCTTAGGAGGAGCAGAGAAGTCCTGAAACCCGGGAGCATCCTAGACAGTTGGCATGGAGCTACCCACTGGTGGTGTGCATTCTCTGTGGCATCAAATGTTCAGAGCAAGAGCCTTTTCCCTGGAGATGCTGGAAGCTCTGGAGCACCATCTCTCCTTCCTTTCTAAATGCCCCCTAGAGTGGAGAAGGTGGATGACGCTCTTGCCAGGAGCGCCCAGCGCTCCTTTGGCCGGCCAGGTGGCCGGCCTCATCTCTGGTGGTTCCTGCGGCACCTCACCTTCCTCTGCCCACAGATGTGCTTGACAGAGGACGTCTGCTCCCTTCGTGCCTCTCCAAGAGCAGGCTGCACGACACCCATTTAAATCCACCCTCAGCTTTCCTGGGTGGGACTGTGGCAATTGGAGAGGCCTGGCCTTCTGGAAACACAGCCCTTCACAGCGATGAGGGGTTAAAATGGGGGTCCGAACACCTCCCCCAAATTCTCCCCCAACCCACTGCCAGAAGCACTTCTGCTCCCATCTGTAATGTCACAGACATGCAATGCCAACCCCCCGCCCCGTGTACGCCTCTACTGCCCGCAAGGCGCTGCCCGCTCACTTGCCCTGGTACTTGATCTTAAAGACATGGATGGTGCCATTGGTCAGGGCTACCACAAAATGTCTGTCCCCAGCAATGGTGACCACTCGTGGCTTGTAGATGCTGTTCTCTGCTGTGACAAATGATCCTAGTTCCTCCCCAGTCTCCGAAAAGGCCACAACCTTGTTCAGCTCCTGAAGCACTACGTAGACAATCCCAGGGGCGTCAGCACAGACACTGCCTGGTTGGTGCCCACCCAACTGCTCCTCCCGGCATTCGGCCACCAGATCCCCTTTCCTGGTGAGCAGCACCACACTACGTCGGTACCAGTCAGATGCCACAAATCCCCCTTTCCTTCTGGCCAGGAATACCAGGCACCTCTCACGTGAGCCCTCCAGCACAATCTTCTCCAAGAGGTGCCCTTTCAAGTTGAACACCTCCAGAGATCCTGCCACACACACCACCACGCAGTCCCCATCACAGGTGGTCACAGCGTGGCTGGCCTGACCCCCCTGCAGTGCCTTCTGCCACATGAGCCCCCCCTGTTCATTTAAGACATAGAGCTGAGATCCAGCGGTGAAGACCACCTTGTTGCCTATGGCAGCCACACTGAATGGGGCCACGCTGCTTGGCACTGGGATGATGCCCCTGAACTCTCCCTGAAGAGAGAAGCGCTTCAACTTCCTGTTCTGCTTGTCAGCCACAAGGACTTCGCTGGGGCCAAACGGGCACAGGCCTGTGACTTGTGGCCGCTCCTTGTCGGTGGGGATTTTCACCCAGAAGCTGCAGAAAAAGACAGGCTGAGGGACCAGCCGGGGGACCTCCGGCCGCTTGGAGGGAGGAGGCCCACCAGCCTCTGCCAGCCCAGGGCTCTTCCCATCTGGGGCCTTTTCCTGCCCGGAGGCCTTCTCCACTTCTGCTCCGTGGATCTGCTCTTGCTTGCGCAGCTTCCACTTAGTACTGTTCCTAGCCAGTTCAGTGGACTTCTCCTTGCTGCGCTCTGGGGCTGCTGCCACAGCCTTCTCATCAAGCTCCAGACGGAAAAGGTTACAGCTGCTCAGGAGGTCTGACTGGATGTGGAGACTGGGGGGCTGGAAGGTCAGGGGCTCCCAGGAGAAGCTCTGCAGCTGCTGCAGCCTCTCTGAGATCATCTGCTCCAAGGAGATGATCTCCCCCTCTTGACCGAGATTCAGCACCTTCTGTGCAAAGGCCACTGTGGTGGTGGCCACCTGTTCCTGGAACTCCAGCTCAGAGAAGAGCAGCCCCAAGGCCTTCTTCTGCTCTTCCAGGTAGCCAGAGAGTTGGCCCAGGACCTTTTCCTGGTGAGTGAGCAACTGCTCTACTGCCTTGGCACACGTCTGCTGTACCACACTGCGGACGTTCAAGTTCCACGCCTCCATCTGCTGTGTCTCCTTCTCCAGACGGAGCTTTCCCTGGGAGATGAGCTCCACTGTCTCCTCCACCCCAGCCAAGAGGCCTGTGATGACGGGGCGGCGGGCTTTGGCAGCCTCTGACAGAGAGAGGCAGGGGTGCTGCAGGTGGGGTCCCAGGCGGCACTCTCGGCACAGGGCAGTAGCGCAGGGAATGCAGAAGTATCGCAAATCTTCCCCCTTGTGTTCTTTGCACCGCGAGGCCTGACGCTTCCGGATCTCCTCGCTGTACTTCCCAGAGCAGTAATGCTCCATGTCTACAACGAGGTGGCTGTGGGTAAGCCGGGAGCAACGGTGCCCACGGGCACAGACCTGACACAGGTTGTCAGCACAATCCAAGCAGTGGGACACAGCAGCAGAGCCAGCATCTTGGCCAATGAGTGGGCACAGGCTACAGGTGGCCCTGGCCTTCTCTACCGGGGGCACCAAGTCCAGGAGGCTATTGATGAAGAAGTTGGTCTTCAAACCTTCAACGCCGGCTGGGAGAGGCACCCGCTTGCGGCACTCAGGGCACCGCAGCTCCTGCTTTGACCCCTCTAGCAGCTTCTTCAAACAGTCCTGGCAGTAGGTATGCAGGCAAGGTAAGATTTTGGGCTGGCAATAGGGCTCCAGGCAAATGGTACAAGTCAGGAAGCTGCTGGAAAGGGTCTCCCAGAGGGATGACGCCTTGGCAGCCATCTGGCCACCTTCTGTCTGGAGAAGCAGGGGGTGAAGGCCAAGCCCACCCTGGCCTGCACCTGGAAGAGAAACACAGGACGAAAGAGGTGGAACCAAGCCCAGGAGGACTCACCTGGCCTGCTCAAGCGGAGGCTGGGGGAACCTTGTGTCTTATGGGACCACGAAGGAGCGGGGCTCCAGAGCAACTGGACCCAATCCGGTTTCAGCCCTGGGGAGAGGGAGCAGAATTTCAGAAGCTGTGGCCACCGCTGACCCAAGCAAAGCAAGAGATCAAGGCTTTGGGGAGCTAGTTAAGCTCTTGCAAATGGCAGCCCTTATCACTGGCCCAAAGATTGGAGCTCTGTCCCCCTTCTTCTCCAGGAAGTCCCAGGCTTGGCCTGAGCCTGTAGGGTTCTGGGTTGGCAGCACCTCCAAAGCCACCTCCCATACGTGGCACCCACCTGCGCTGGGAAGAGGAAGAGCCAGCTCGTGCTGCCAGGCTTCCCGTGTGTTCTGAAGAAGGTCTGGGGTATCCCTTGGGCTGAGGAGGTTCCTCCTCTTCTCCCCTTGTGGGGCAGCCAGCGGGGGAGACCCAGAGAGCTATTGCTGCTGCTGCCACCCCCACCCCCACAAATCACCTTGGTGAAACTTGTGGGCAGGTGCTGGGTGGAACCAGAAACGAAACCAAAAGATGCTGCCCCAGGTCTCTGAGGCACACGCAAAAACTGGAACGGAAGACCCAGAATGGACACAAAGGCCACACGCTGCAGATGTGCAGGAGCAGCAGCAAAGGCCCGTGGCCCTTTCGGGTTCCTGCTATTCCCCCCTCAGTGCCCCAAAGCCTTCCCCAACCCATCCAAGCTGCCAAGAAGCCCCTTCCTACCAGCCAAGCCGTCAGGAGGAGTTTGGGTGCAATCAATTCCCAGCTTCCA